CCCGCCCAACCAAACCACCACCATGGAGCCGGCAGTTAGTCCTCGCCGAGGTAATGTGAGTACTGTAATGTTGGCTTGAAAGGCTCGTGCTCGAAAAATGACCCATTCGGTAACCATCGAATTAGACTGCCAGGTTTTTGCGCTGTGTTGGCCACTTTCTTCACAATTTTTGCTGCAAAAAAATATCTTATCGAACGAATTCTGTAGTCGTGTGTCGTTTCTAATTGTTACATTGCAAAATAATTTTTCGACTCTGCGTATCTTTTCTAGAGCAGGTGAGTCGGTAAAAGAGAATACATTACTCGGACAGCGCGTATAAGTATTGTTTGCGAGAGTGGTTTTCGGTACAGTCCACCAGGTCCGCAGTGTTTTTCAGCCCAGCACGGCGTCGTCACCGCCCTGCGGGTATGCGCGGGCCGGCTCGGGCCGAGGCACGGCCGGGGCACAGCAGGGCGTGGGGCTTACCTTCCTCGGCGTTATTTTCTCGACCAAGCCGGGGCCAGAGGCCAGGGCCAGCCCTCCCTGCTCGGACGGGATTTGCTGTCCGGGTTGCCTATGCCGCGGGCGTGGCGGGGCGTGGCGGGGCGTGGCGGGGCCGAAGCCGTTGCGAGCCCCGAGACTCGGGGGTCAGGGGGCTCGGCCGGGCCGGGGGCCGGGGGGTTGGGCCGGCTGATGTGGTTCGGGGACTCACGGATTAGACAGCGTGGGTTACCGGTGGAGGCCCGGGCCGGCGGGGCCGAAGCAACCCCCGAGCGCTCCGCTTCCCCGCCCCGGCCCCGCCCCGCCCCGCGACCGACCCACGAGAGAGCCCGGCCCTGGCGCAGCCCTGGCGCGGTGGATCCGCGGGTCGGCGGGCCGGGGGTGGGCGCGCCCTGTGCGCGTTGCCAGCGCGACCCTCTCTCTCCTGGCGGTGTACTCGGCGGGCCGGGCAGGGGCCGGTGGGGCTGAGGGGCCCTCCAGGACGTGGGGTGTGCAGCACCAGCAGGGGACGCGGCAGCGGCTACCTCCACCAGAGTTTGCAGCCGTTTGTGCCGTGGGCGCTGGGCCGGGCTGTGCGGGTCCAGGCCCGTCCCATCCGCACAGCATCCCCCCGCACGCCGGCTCCGCCCCCAGCTCAGCCTGGCCCCCGCGACTCCGCAAACTAAAGGGAAGTTGCAGGAGGGAGGGGGCTCCTGCGATTACAGGCCGGCGCTCGGCCCAGCACGCCGCAGCGCCAGGGGTTGGCGGGTGGACGGAGCAGGGTAGCTCAAAGAGAGGGGAGAGAGGCAGAGAAAGGGGGTCAAATCAGGAGGCTCGGGAAGAACTATAGTGTTTTAACGACAGGATTCCAGGAATCGCTCTTGACCCATCGGATTAATTGCGCAGTTTGCCGCGCAGCAGCACCAGCACCGCGGCGACGCTCCTTTTCAACAAAAGCTGTTATCGTTCAAGATTCCGGGGGCCGGCGCGCGCGACGGGACCGGACGGGGGCCCCGGGTGATGAGAGGCCCCGAAAAAAGAGTAAAATAAAATTAGAGGGGGAAAAAATTCAGGCCCTATCTCTGGCGTGGCTGCCAGCATATCTCACGCGCAATGGCC